AAGTCCTTTGATGCTTACTAAACCAGGATGTAAGTGGGATAAAATATTAATTGTATTATATAGACAAGCAGTTTTGATCTTGCATCATTTATTACATAGATCTTCACAGTATTAAAATAGAAGCAGAGGCCGGGTACAGTGGCTCATGCCTGTCATCTTAGCACTCTGAGAGGCCCAGGTGGGTAGATCACCTGAGCTCAGAAATTGAAGACCAGCCTGAGCAAGAGCGAGACCCCATCTCTACTAAAAATAGAAAAAACTAGCTGAGTGTTGTGGCGGGCATCTATAGGCCCAGCTACTCAGGAGGCTGATCAGGGCTGGACGATCCATTGAGTCCAGGTGTGGAGGTTGCTGTGAACTCAAATTCTTTCAAATTTGGCTTTTGGGAACCTCGGCTATGATGCCGTGGCATTCTGCCTTGGGCAACAGAGTGAGACTCTGTCTCAAAAAGAACAAAAATAAAAGCAGAACATGAGGAAGTTAAGAGAAATGACACCTGCATCTAATGAGTTTTGAAGTCACAGCTTGGAAGTAACTGATGCTGGGATATTTTCTAAAGCTGTAAAGAGGCTCGGTGCCTGTGGCTCAAGTGGCTAAGGCACAAGCCACATACACCTAAGGTGGCGAGTTCGAATCCAGCCCGGGCCCGCCAAAACAACAATGACAGCTGCAACAAAAAATAGCTGGGCATTGTGGCAGGTGCCTGTGGTCCCAGCTACTTGGGAGGCTGAGTCAGGAGACTTGTTTGAGCCCAGGAGTTGGAGGTAGCTGTGAGCTGTGATGCCAAATCACTGTACCCAGGGGGATAGCTTGAGGCCCTGTCTCAAAAAAAAAAAAAAAATAAAGCTATAAAGAGAAATTGATGTATGGTCAAAAGATTAAAAGCAGCCTGTTAAAATGGTGTGGCAGTAGCATTGAGTGCACCTAGCATCAAGGTTTTAGATGTTTAGTATTGTTGCTAAAAGAGACTAGCACTCCTTGGAGAAGTGACTGATAATCTGAAAGTGAGGAAGTACTCAAAGGCTAATGGGATAATGTTGAAGGACATAAGAGTAGGTTTAAAGAGGCTCCCAAAAGCCAAATTTGAGAGAATTTGAGAATCAAAGAAAGATAAGGAGGATAACAGATTATGGTGGTTAATTAAAAAACAAAAATCATGAGTCCATACAGATTTTTAAAAAAAGAGAAGAGTAGGACAGGGGAAAAAAATGAGAAGAACTATTCTTTACAGAGAAATAAGAGTGCCAATTAATAAATATAGATGCAATAATCAAATTTTAAAAATCACTATTTTATAATCATCAGTATAATAATTAGGCAAAGATCACCAATAAATCTAAAAGCATCAGGAGGAAGATTGTTGGGAAACAAAAATATTCATATATCCTCAAATTATTACTCTACATACTACTGTTTAATTATAAAGAGAAAAACATGCCTTGAAGATAGAGCGATCACCACATTTACTGAGTGGTTGAGGTTGGCATGTCCAGTGAGATGGCCCAGGGTCATGTGCTTCCTGAGGGGAGGCAGCTGGGGGTGCACAGTAGGACCTGTGTATGTTCTTGCTGGAAGTCTTTGATCTGAATGTAACTCTGAGGAAGTAGAAACATCCTAACATTCTGGGAGGCTGAGGCAGGAGGATTACTTGAGCTCAGGAGTTCTAAACCAGCCTGAGCAGGAATGAGCCCCCGTCTCTACTAAAAATAGAAAAATTAGCTGGATGTTGGTGCCTGTAGTCCACACTGCTCACGAGGCTAACGCAGAAGGATGGCTTGAGCCCAGGAGTTTGAGGTAGCTTGTGAGCTGGGCTGATGCCATGGCGTTTTACCCAGGACAAGAGAGTGAGCCTCTGTCTCAGACAAAGAAACAAAAACCACACATTTGTGTGTCATTCCTAAAAGGGTTCTATGGAACCTGAGACACTTTCTGCTTTAAAACTCTTGCACCTATTAAAGGCCTTCCCTCCATATGTTTGTTGTGGGAAAAGATAATCTTAACTTTTATTTTTAACTTTTTATTATGGAAAATAATGGTACACCACACAAATAGCATGATGAACCTACATGTAATGAAAAGTCCACTTTATTCATTCATTTATTTATTTAGAGACAGAGTTTTAACTTTATTGCCCTTCGTAGAGTGCTGTGGTATCACAGCTCATAGTAATCTCCAAGTCCTGGGCTTAGGCGATTCTCTTGCCTCAGCCTCCTGAGTAGCTGGGACTACAGGCGCCGACACAACGCCTGGCTATTTTTTGTTGCAGTTTGGCTGGGGCCAGGCTCGAACTCACCACCCTCGGTATATGGGACCGGTGCCCTACCCACTGAACCACAGGCGCCGCCCTGAACACTCAGCTTTAATAATTAACAACAGTTGATTAGTTTTGTTTTACTAACTTTTTCTCTGTCTCCCCGAAGTATTTTAAAGCAAATTCCAAACTCATTATTTCACTCTTAGATACTTTAGTATAAATCTCAGTGACATTTATGCTACAATGCCATTTTATTTTTTGTTTTTTTGAGACAGAATCTTACTTTTGTTGCCCTCAGTAGAGTGCCATCGCATCACAATTCGCAGCAACCTCAAACTCTTGGGCTTAAGTGATTGATTCTCTTGCCTTGGCCTCCAAAATAGCTGGGACTACAGATGTCCACCACAATGCCTGGCTGTTTTTTGGTTGTAGTTGTCATTGTTGTTTGGTAGGCCCAGGCTGGATTTGAACCGGCCAGCTCTGGTATATGTGGCCGGTGCCCTAGCCTCTGAGAGCCACAGGCACCGAGTCTACAGTGCCATTTTTTTAATTGTTTCATTTAAACTAAGAATTGCCATTGTTTTACCTAACAGTGTTACTTAATATTATCTTTTTGGGGGGAGGTGGGGCACAGTCTCACTATGTAACCCTCACTATGTGGTAGAGTGCTGTGGCATTATAGCTCACAGCAACCTCTAAACTCTTGGCCTTAAGTGATTCTCTTGCCTCAGCCTCCCAAGTAGCTGGGGCTACAGGCACCTGCTGCAATGCCTGGCTATTTTTTGGTTGTAGTCATTGTTGTTTAGCAGGCCCAGGCAGTGCTGAAACCCACCAGGTGTGTGTGGCCTGTGCCCTACTCACTGAGCTATGGGTGCTGCGCCTCAATTATCTTATGTCTAGTCCATGTTCAAACTTTGCCAGGTGCTTAAAGGTTTTTATAATTAATCTGCTTAAATCAGTATTCAAACAGGGTCCATACATTTGCGTCTTTTTGGTCTTCTTTCAGTCTTTAGTCTATTTTAATTTTAGTAGATACCTTTCTTTTTTAAAATCTTATTTACTTATTGACAAAACTAGTTCATTTGCCATATAGAATTTCTTAGCACTCCTAGGCTCAAGTGATCCTCTTGCCTCAGCTTCTGGAGTAGCTGGACTAGCACCACCATGCCCAGCTAGTTTTTCTGAGTAGAGATAGGTCTTGGCTGTTGCTCAGGCTGGACTCAAATTCCTGAGCTCAAGGGATCCTCCTGCCTTGGCCTCTTAGAGTGCTAGGATTACAGGCAAGAGCCACCACACCTTGCCTCATTCTTTTTTTTAAGTGACCTTGAACATTTTTATGAATGCAGGCTCGTTACTTTATATATTGTCCCTCAGTTTGGGTTTGTTTGATCTTTCTCATTATTCAGTATGAGTTACGTATTTTTGCCCAGAATATCTCAGAAGTGATCTTTCTTAGCAGAGGCATTTGATATCAACATGTCCATAGTTGTGATGTTTACTGTGATCATCTGATTAAGGTTATTTGAACTAGATTTTTCCACTGGAAAACTCTTTTCTGAACTCCATTGTACTAGTTACTGTTTTTCCTTTTGTGATTAATAAGTACCTTAGGTGAACACTTTGAAATTATATAAATATCCTTTCACTTTTCAAATGTTAATCTACTAGTTGTAGCTTCTGTTTATGATTTTTGCCTCAATCAGTTATTACGGAGATGGTTACCTAAAGTCAGTTTTTTAAGCTCATCATTTTTTCTATATATATTAGTTGGGAACAGTTTCCTCTAGTCTTCCCTTGTTTATATGTAGAATTATGTATTTATTACTATGGATTACTGGATATATATTTTTATCCACCAAAATCTGGTAGTAAAGGTGCTACTGGATCTGATGATTTTTAGTAGTGAAAACACCAGACATTTAAAAGGACAGCTTTTGAAATAATGTTTATTAGTTCCAATGTAATATTTTATAAAAGCACTGAGATGCAAGTTTATGAAGAATGAAGTAAGGAAGGTTTTATTTCTTGGTTTAGTCCAAAGCATAACAAATGTGGTTTTATTTATAGTTGTATGTATTGTAAACATAAAAATACATATCCTTTGGCCCCTTGAATTCTACTTCTAGGAATTTATCATCTAGATATATACATTATAAGATTTTAACATACATTATTACATTGTTATTCTGCAGAAATACCTTATAAGTTTATTTTTGTTATAGAAAATTGGTGATGAATTAAATGTCTCCCACTCATCTGTTTGTTACTATAACATATCCATATAAAAATATGCTTCTTAGCCACAAAAAAGAATGAACAAGCTGTTTAAGGTCTTTCAAAGTATAATACATGAAAAAAATGCACATATATTTACTTATATATGAAAAGAATGAATGTTTTTGGAAGGAATCACAAGAAACTGGTAATATTTATTATGTGTAGGGAGTAAAACTGGATATGGGAATGGGAGTGGGGACTTTTTGCTGTAAATTGTTTTATCTTTTTACATTGAATTAATTAAATTAAAAAATTTACATGCTAGAGGTCTAAAATTACAGGAAGCAATTGATCTTATTGTAAGAATTCTAATCAAACAATTTTCTTATGTAACTCTGGTATGACATATGTATATATGTTTTTGTTGTTTTGGTAGATACTGTGGTAGAAAATTGGCAACTTTATTTATATGCCATGATGTATATACTTTAGAGTCTAAATGAATATTTCCTTTGTTTTCTTTTGGCAGCATGCATATGCACTAGAACTTCTATTTGATCAGTTGCACGAAGGAGCTAAAGCTCTTGATGTAGGATCTGGAAGTGGAATCCTTACTGCCTGTTTTGCACGTATGGTAGGAGCTTTATTTTTCATTTTGGCCCCAAAAGAAGAATATTATATGATTTGGCTGTATGTTTTTCTTCACTTGTGGTTTTTTTTTTTTTTTTT